CCAAGTGCACCTACACACACATGGCATATACTTACACACATACACATAAATCACAATTAAAAAAATAAACATTAAGGAAAACAAAGACTTCAAATTTGGGTCATTCCCCTGGTTTCTAAAGAAGTAGACAGAGTTGTAAAATACATGCTTCCATGGAGGATCCTACTTTAAAGTTACCTGGTCTTTTCTGGGCTCAGAGTGAACATGTATCATGTGCAGCTAACTCAATAAGTCATGATATGTTTGGGCATCGCACGTGTAATGGTCAAGGTAAGTGTCTTAGTTAAGGTTTCTATTGCTGTGAAGAGACACCATTGTTGCTTGAGTTTTCCTGCCTGGCCCACAGTCAGTACAAATCTCTCTCACCTGCCAGTCCCACAGCCGTCAGACCCAACCAAGTAAACACAGAGACTTATATTGGTTACAAACTGTATGGCTGTGGCAGGCTTCTTGCTAACTGTTCTTACAGCTTAAATTAATCCATTTCCATAAATCTATACCTTGCCACATGGCTCGTGGCTTACTGGCATCTTCACATGCGGCTTGTCATCATGGCGGCTGGCAGTGTCTCCCTCACCCAGCTTCCTGTTCTCTCAATTCTCCTCTCTCTTAGTCCCGCCTATACTTCCTGCCTGGCCACTGACCAATCAGTGATTTATTCATTGACCAATCAGCAACACATTTGACATACAGACCATCCCACAGCACACCATGATCACAGTAACTCTTATAAAGGAAAACATTTAATTGGGGCTGATTGACAGTTTCAGAGGTTTAGTCCATTATTGTCGTGGTGAGACATGACAGTGTGCAAGCAGACATGGTGCTGGAGAAGAAGCTGAGAGTTCTACATCTTAATCCACAGGCGGCAGAAGAAGACTGTGCCACATTGGGCATGGCTTGAGCATAGGAGACCTCAAAACCTATCCCCACAGTGACACACTTCCTCCAACAAGGCCTCACCTACTCCAGCAAAGCCGTATCTCCCAATAGTGCCACTCCCTATGGATCAAGCATTCACACACATGAGTCTATGGGGGCCATTCCTATTCAAACCACCACAGTGAGGCAGGTTAGGTGTTGGTCCTAGGAACTCCAGAGCTGGGCCCGAGGCTTCTGTAGGTCTGAGGCGACATAGGTGCTGATAGAAGAATGGGCCCTCAAGGAAGAAAAAAAAACACATGAAAAAATACCTGCAGGTGTGACAAAAAGCCCTAGAGTACCCCAGTGAGGGGCATCATGGCAACAACATCCACCCGTTATAGAGGGTAGAGACCAGGTGCCGTTACTGTGTTCCTGTCACATGTGTTGATACAAAACAGCAACAGACATAGCTCTCACCTCAAAGGGAGATAGTTTATTCTGGAGCAAAATACCAAAATATGAGCATGGCCCAGGAACACAGATTTGGATTACCCCAAATTCCACCTTCCAGTGTGGTAACAGTTGGTGGGATTTTCCCAGTAACAGAGCAAAGAAAATCATAAATCAGGACAGTTTTCAAACACGTTGGTGGGAACCTTGGGTAGACGTGTTACGGCAGAGCCGAGAAGTCGCTGTTACAGGCTTGGGATACTGTCTGACGACATGCTTAGCTTTGAGTGGTTGGTGGAAGTCAAGGCTATGTTTGTACATTTCAGAGGATTTACCTAATCATCACAAGATGCTAGGCACAGAGGTAGGCCGTAAATGCTATTTAGGGGCTGAGATAGCCCAAGATAATTTGGCTGTATACCTGTGTCTTCCAGCTGTTGACAAAACATTGATGTTCTAATTAATTATCAGCCTTGGAGAATGTTTAACAAAGGGAGACTTTTTCCTGGGAATGTCAGTTAACACATGGAATTGAGAAATGGCTACAAGGCAAATTCTGTGTCTACAGTATCCCTGTGAGGTGTAGCCTGTTGTCTGCAGCACAGGGAACCCCAACAGCCTGTTAGGTATGGCCTGTGGTACCCACTTCAAGCTCAAGAGGTTGTGTATGTGGGGGTCACTTTTCACATAACAAAGTGGGGGATTTGCAGAGCCAGGTGCCAGTCCAGGCACATCTCTCTGTAGTTGGGGAACTCTGTTTCTGCTGAGAAACTCTCTCAGAGGGGACTGCAGGGCACAGGATCTAGCAGGTGTATCCAACATAGGGTCCATGGGCTGTATGAGCCCCAAGATAGCTGTGAATATGGCCCACAAAATCAAAAACTTACTGAAAACATCACAAAAAGTTGTATTGTATTATTAACTTTTTCACACTCATATATATTGCTTATTGCACACATTCTACCCCGTGTTCTCCTCTCTTCTCTTTCCTCTTCCCCTCCCCCCATGGGTCCTTTACCACCAACATAACAACTTCTACTTTCATAATGTATATATGCACGTATGCATGTGTATGTATATATGTATGCATATGTGATTTTATGTATCTATAGAAAACCTAGGAACCACAAACGACCTCTCATTTGTGCGTTCTCAATGTATGTGACTTTCTATGATTTTTATATGACTGTCTTCAGTTACATCCATTTTTCTGAGAACAATATAACTTCATTCTTCTTTATGGATGGAAAAACATTTTTGTGTGTATGCAGGGGGCGGGGCGTTGTGTGGGGTCAGAGCCATGTTTCAGCAGTTAACAACACTTGCTGTTCTTACAGAGAACCTGGGTTCAATTCCCAGCACCACACTTTATACCTCACAACTGCTTGTAACTCCAGTTCAAGGGCATCTGATGCCCTCTTCTGGCCTCTGGACATTACACACAGGGTGCACCGAGAGACGAGTAGGAACATACACATACATTAAATTATTTTTTATTTCATTGCATAGCAGTACATTTTCCTTAACCATTCCTATGCTGTCGGACATCCTGTATGGGCTCCGTAGCATGGCTGCTGTCAACAGTGCTAGTGTTAGACAGGCATGCGAGTGTCTCTGTGCCGTGTCGACTTGGAGACTTTAGGGTAAATTCCCAGGAGTGTTTTAGCTGGGTGGTGATTTTTTCCATAACTCGATTGCATGGTTCTCAAGCATGAACTCTATATGACAACTTCTATCACAATGCCAAAAGGTTGAACATTCCTGGAAGCAAGCAAGAGCCAAGAGGGGCTGTCTCCTCTCTGGAAGTGCGGGAGGTTCTTTATGAAGAAAAATAGGGCAGACCTGGGGCTCCCGTCATCAGCAACCCTGGGCAAACTGTAACCTTTCCAGATGCCTTTGCCCCCTTGCGTTTGGCCGGCTGGGGACCGCTGCTGTTAGCACTTGCCGCCGGAGTAAAACTGTAGAAACCATGTCCCCTGCACATGGCTGTCCAGCTACCATGACATCTTCTCATTATATGATTCTCTGAAGGCCTGAGACTGTGTCCCCTGGGACACCCTAACTCCACCTCCCCGTGACTGAGTGCCATGGGGAGAAGAGGTGGCCTAGGAGGACTGGCCAACAATCTCTAGGCTGCAGTCCTTAGTTAGTGAATAAGAAGGGGAAGGGGCTTGGACCAGCTGCTGGATGCCTCAAAACACTTGGATCCCATGGCTGGTCCATCAGAGATAGGCAGTGGCCATAATGGCCATTCAAGGGTCTGGGGTTAACATCTCATGGACACTGGGCATTACTCTGGACAGGGCTGAGGGTTGTGTCACCTGATCTAGATGGCAATGATAAGCACCCTATCGATGACCTGTGGTGGCTAGGTCTGAAGGTCAGGGTATGCTCCATCTGAACCTCTGTGTGAGTGTCCTCCTGGTCTCCCAGCGGAGCACTGGAAGAAATTCACCAGACAGTTGGAGGAATGGCCAGACAGCTTGGAAAACCCTAGAGCCAAAAGCTAACTAACCCAGAAGGGCCAAGACTAACAAAAGCACTACCTGAGAGCATCCAGAGGACTGGCCAAGCTGTGTAGTAGGAGGAGCCACACCTCAGGAGGTGAGCAGACCTCCATCCTGGTCCCTGCAGGCGGTCCCTGCTCACAGGATGCCCTGGCAGGCAGAGCTGTGGAGGACCAGGGCAGCCTTTAATGCTTTTCTTTCCCCTGCTGAGTCCCCCTTGTTTAACGTGATCACTTGGGTTGTCATTATTTTTTTTTAGATGTCACAGCACCCCATCCATTCTGGTTTTAATCAGAAGCTGGACCACACGTGGTTCGTGAGCCCAGAAGGCAGTCTGCCCCACGGCTCACGGTTGGGTCTGGGAAATTGGCAAAGGTTCTTCAGAAGCCAGCAGGCAGACATTGGGGTTGCTTGGTTGGTGGGATTTGATCATTAATAATGTCTGATCAACCATGACCCCTTCATAATCAAGGAACTCAGAGAGACACGCAGAGCCAGCCAAACCCTGCCACTCTGGAGTTATGGAAATTAACAGAAGGGTTTTTAACTATTTAACGTGGCACCTCCAAGCTCAGGCAGCCTGGGAGAGGGAGGCCGAGTGGCTGGAATCATGGGAGATGAGGATGTGGAGGAGGCTGCTGCAGGAGAATTAGTAACGTGGCTGAATAATACAAGCCCTAACCATGCAGCTGTCCTGCCGGCTTCAAGCACTGCTCCTGCTGAGAAATATGAAATAACCTGCTAAGGGCAGGCTCTGGCCTCTCCTGCCTGCCGGGTTGAAGGGAAAGGCTGCACCATAGGAAGGGGGCGATGGAAGGGGATGGAAGAGCCAGAGGCACTGGTTCATGACAACCCCCCATGGGGAACAATGCGGGATCCTGGGTCTGGTGGCATCCCCAGGAAAGACGAAGCTCTCTTCAGATCTTGCTCCCGTGAAGGATGAACTGTGAGATAAGTTTCACAGAGGACTGAGCTCAGACAACCACACTCACCACAAAGTGTGCTCTCCCTTTCAATATGCACCCCGCAGCCTTCGGAAATCAGGGAGGAACAGAGGGCAGGCCGTGTTTGGGTTTCCAATCTGGGCTGATTATGGGGTGTCGGGAGTGTAGGTTTTCTGGGCAAGCAAAGAGATAAATGGCTAAGCTGACTCTTGACTGTCCCCACCCCCTCCCACAGGGTACCAGATTGCCTACCGCCTGGCCAGCGGCAGTCCTCACACCTTCACCACTGTGGAGGTGGGTGCCACAGTGCGGCAGTTCACAGCCACAGAGCTGGCCCCAGAATCTGCATACATCTTCAGATTGTCTGCTAAGACGAGACAGGGCTGGGGCGAGCCCCTGGAGGCCACAGTCATCACCACTGAGAAGAGAGGTAAGATCCCAGACCCAAATCTGACTGTGGATGGCAGGGCACACAGCTGTTTTGTCAGCCCCTCTGATCCCCACAGCGCCCAGAAGCCTGGGCCAGACGTGAAGCTAGGCAGATTGTCTTATTTTTTTAAGTGTGGTGTGTGTCTGTGTGTGTGTGTGTGTGTGTGTGTGTGTGTGTGTGTGTGTGTGTGTGTGTGAGTGTGCTCAGACATATGCATGTATATGTGCAGATACTCATGCCTGTGCATATATGTGGAGACTAGCGGTCAAGTGTCTTCCTTCAACACCCTCCACCTTGTGTTTTGAGACAGTTTCTCATTGAGCCCAGAGCTGGCTGTTTTGGCTAGGCTGACTGGCCAGCAAGCTCCAGGGGATTCACCTGTCTTTGCATGTCCAGCTCTGCGATTAAAAACATGGGCCATGGTGTCTGGCTTTTTGCAGGTGCTGGGGATCAGAACTCGTGTCCTCGCACATGCTCTACAGGCACTGTTCTTGCTGAGCCATGCCCCCAGCTTGGAGCTAGGCATATTGTCAAAGTGTCTTCGTGACACCACTGTTAGCCACCTGCCCACTGTCTCAGACAGTCAGGTGTTATTATCGAGGCCGGAGGCAGGAAGTGCAGCTCGGAGAGGCTAGCCCAGGGCAGCACCGAGCTTTGTCTACAGCAGTGGTTCTCAACCTTCCTAATGCTGTGACCCGTTAATATAGTTCCTCAGGGTGTGGTGACGCCCAACCATACATTTTTTTTGTTGTTGTTGTTGCTACTTCATCACTGCAGTTTTGCTGCTGTTATGAATCATAATGTAAAGATCTGATAGGCAGGATATCTGACATGAGATCCCGAGGTTGCGAACCACAGGTTGAGAACCACTGCTCTAGAACCTCCTCCCACTGCAACCCAAAGGGCCTCTCTCAGAACCCATGCCTCCAGGCACAGGGGCTCTGGTGATACCTTTCCTGAGGAGACATAAACCAACTGTGACCAAACAGGGCACAACCGACACACTAAAGGAAGGGCTCCACTAAAATTCAGCTTGGAGAACCAGTGAGTTTACTGAGTCTGTCTGCAGCGCCCAAGTGGTAGGGATTTGCTTACACACATGTGGGTGACCCCCAAACAGTTGCATCACCACCAAGTGATGACCTCATGGGGTCTCCCTTTCAGTCAGCCTTCAACTTCCTGTATAATCTAGTATCTATCTCCCAGGATCACTTGCAGCTAGCTAGGTGGAGGGCAGGATAGTGTAATGGCTGGGATCCCAGGTGAAGGTCCTATGACCTTCCTGTCTTCCATCTCCCAAGGAATGCCAATAGCTCCATCTTTATTACCATAGATTTAGCTAATACCATCTTTATTCTGCTCAATTAGTTACTATGGTTACCAGTCCAAGATAATCTCTACTCTAAAATAGCAATGATATTATCATGTTGTGCCCAGAAGAAAAAGTCATACAAGGAATGCTGCCCTCATAGCCAGACCCAGAGGTCTGGGGAACTAGGCCAGGAGGACTGGAAAACACCTGGAGCTCAAGGCTCAGGCCTGTGAGGCCTTGGGCAAACCCTTCCCCTCTCTCTGCTATGGCACTGACTTGGGAGGCCTGTGCAGAGCAGTTAGCACAGTGCCCAGGACACCCAGGACAGGCCGGTGGCTTTTCCTGTCATCAGCAAGGCTCCCAGGAACTGCTCTGGTGTGATGTAAGTGCTCAACAAATGTGAGTGAGTATCACAGCTGCATTTGTGATGACTTTTATCACAAGATCTAAAGCAGGCCATTTCAGGGATTGAGGAGTCGAACTCAGAGGCTTAAATCTAACAGAGGGAGGGGGCTGACACAGAGCTCACACCAGGCTCCAGCCACCTCCAGGTATCACTGCCTCCGTTCCCATCTCCAGCTCTCACCAAAGCCTCCTAAGATGGTTTCAGGGAAGAAACCAAGTCCTTGTCAGAGGAGAAGCCTGCTGGGTGGAGAACGGCCCCCGCCGAGGCCAACCATGCCCATCTTATGCTGCTCCAGAGTGAGCACCAAAGAAGGAAGTCAGGCCTCACCTCCCACACCCTGAGCCGGCAAGTTCCCAACAGGCCCAGTGTCCATCAGCCTTCCCTGGACTGAGCCAGGATCCTCCCGATGACTGTAGCCTGGTCCAGCCACCTGGCTGTAGGAGCCACCAGGCTGAGCACATCTCTTCTTCCAGGGTCTTCCCAGCTTCAAGCTGCCAGTCAGGCTATGTTAGCCTTTCATTGCTATAACAAAATACCCCAGAAAAACACCTTAAAGGAGGAAGGTTAGTTTTGGCTCATCGGTTCCTGCGCGTTCAGAATATGACTGTGGTGGCTAGGACTGCAGAGGGAGGGAGGAGCCTTTGTTTATGGGGTCTGGTCACTCCTGCAGAAGGTTTAATCCTCACAGCAGGGGCTTGTCAGCTCTAGGGGTTGGGACAGCCTGTTCTCTCTAGGATAAAGATAGTCTTAAAGCAGGCAGATACATCATCTAATGACAGTGTAGCCCGGGCTGGCCTTGAACTCCAAATCCTCCTGCTTCTGCTTCTTACATGTTGGGACTACAGGTGTATGCCATTACACCTGGCTTTACGGGGCACAGGAGACCAAAGCCACCCAGGCCTCATTCATGCTAGACAAACACAGCCACAGCACATTTGGGGAGATGCTTGTCTTTCTCTTTCTGGAAGCTAACATCTTACCCCTCCTTACAGATGTACATGTATTACTACTGAGTTCTTCCAAATACCAGCTGCCCCTCCCATTGGCCAGATACATGTGCATTCTTCACTGGCACATCCCTTATTTCCTCCACAACTCTGCGAGTGGATGCTCTTACTGGGTCCTTTGGGGAAGATGTACTTGAACTCAGAGTGGTGATGTGACCTTCAATGCCTGTGGCCCTGGGCTCAGGGGACCAGGATACAAATGATGGGCACTGGGAGGGTCCTCCAGAGATTGGCAGCTGCATCCTAGTCCCCAGAATGCTTAGTAGTGTTTTCAGGAACTGGTGACATAGGCCTTTGCTCAGGGATCCACGGGCAGCCACCCTTGGCCCTTGCCTTCTTCCCCGGGTCATGCCCTCCTTAGGAATGCCCAACACTATTTGCATGTGTGATTGCATGCATACTTGTGTGTGCATGTTCATATGTGTACTTGTGTGTGTATGTACCCACCAGTGGGTGTTTGTATGCACATGCAAGTGTATACATGTACACGTGGGTTAGTAGGCTCGAGTGCAGCCTCAGGTATCATTCCTTGAGACACCCTCTACCTTGTTCTTTGGGACAGGGTTTCTCAGTGCCCTGGCGCTTGCTGCTTTGGCTAGGCTAACTGGCCAGTGAGCCACAGGGATCCACCTGTCCCCACCTTCCCAGATTACATGCACCACCCCTCTGGGATTCTTTTCACATGAGCTCTGGGGATCCAACTCTGGTCCTCATGCTTATAACCAGAGTCACTTTACCAGCTGAGTTCTCTCTCTCCATCCCATGGACTCTTTGAAGGCAAAGGATGGATGAGGAATGACCCTTACAGGGCTTGAGTCAGAGCCACATGAAAACACATACATAAACACCCTTCTGTGGGTAGACCAGTGTGGCCTGATCATGCCAGCTTGTTGCCTGGGGCACAGGGCCACCACTCCCTGCCCAGCCCCCAACCCCTTAGGTATGGAGAACCTTGACTTCCCACCAGGTTCTAATGCAAGTCTTAGGGACAGGGAGCTCGCCATTTCCAGTGGCAATGTGTCCACAGAAGGCCTTAGAAACCGGCCAGGGAGCCCAGCTCTTTCCATCCTGCAGAAATCAGGCTTCCAGCCAGCGTGCACACTCACAGCCAGGACCAGTGATTGAGCCAGATCGAAGCGCCTCTCACATCCCTGTCACTGCGGGGCCCACGATCGATGGCTACTTTATTACACGCCACACATTTTAATCAGAATCAATAATTGTCATGATAAACAATTAAACAATTATTTCTCCCTCTATGGTCCCTCTGTTGAAATCACTGGGGGACGGGAACACAGTGTCAGGCACATGGCACCCATTCAAGGCCAAGGCTGGTCCCAGGCACCCTGCATTCTAACCCGGCAGAAACCATTAACAGCCCACAGGGACCCCCACCTGCACTTGCCTCCCACCCTCCAGGAGCATTCAGTAGATTTCTCTCGTGTGTTAGACTCAGGTTAACTATAAAGAAAAAGAAATTAGGTTTTAAGGGTGAGATGAGCCCCCAAATCAGACAGCATACAAAGGAGGCTTGAGTTGTTTAGTAGAGTGCTACCGCAAACATCAGCTGTCATTCAGAAGCACTTGCCCTTGCTGATAGGGGCTGGGGCCTCTGGAGGCACATGTTTCTGCCTGGTTCTGCTCTGTGAGCAAGCCCTGCTCCCCAGTCAGACCTGATCTGGTGCATCCAAAGTCAGCTGTAAGACAGCCTCCTCTCCCAAACCTAGGACTCATTTGCTTTTCTTTCTCTGTGTGCATGACAAGGGGAAGCACACGGGCATGTGTTCACATGAGTGGGACTGCATGTGTGGGTGCATATAAAAATCGGAGGCCCAGCCTTGGGTGTTGGCCTCAGGTACCAATCTACCTCTTTCTTTCTTTCTTTCTTTCTTTCTTTCTTTCTTTCTTTCTTTCTTTCTTTCTTTCTTTCTTTCTTTCTTTCTTTTTTTCTTTTTATTGGTTTTTTTTCAAGACAGGGTTTCTCTGTATGACTGTAGACCAGGCTGGCCTACGACTCACAGAGATCTACCTGCCTCTGCCTCCTGATGCTGGGGTTAAAGGCAACACCACTCAGCTCTACCCTGTTTCTTAAGACAGAATGTTTCAATGGGACCTAGAACTCTCCCATTAGGCGAGGCTGGCTGGCCAATAAGCCCCAGCTCTATGCCTGTCTCCACCTTCCTAGTACTGGAATTAAGAGCATGCACCCTCACATCCAGATTTTTATGGGGAACCTGGGGACTGAACTTGGGTTCTCAGTTTGTATGGTAAATCCTTCACCTGTAAGGCTAGACCAGCTCTCTAGCCTTGGGACTTTCTTTCTCTGCGCCTGTCCCACACAGCGGTTCCCATGGGCAGGCATCCAGGAGCAACACGGAACGGTCTCTCATGAATCCCTGCTTTTCTGCTCCTCTGTTTGCAGAGAGGCCAGCACCCCCCAGAGAGCTCCTGGTACCCCAGGCTGAAGTGACAGCCCGCAGCCTCCGGCTCCAGTGGGTCCCTGGCAGTGACGGGGCCTCCCCCATCCGGTACTTCACGGTGCAGGTGCGAGACCTGCCTGGTGGAGAGTGGCAAACCTACTCCTCATCCATCAGCCACGAGGCCACAGCCTGTGCCGTCGAAAGGTACCGTGGGGTGGGGGTAGCACTCAGTGTTGTCTTTCTGAACCTGGGATCTCAGTCACTTGTCTCCCTGCTGTGACGAAATGCCTGTTGGAAGCAGCTTAGGGGAGGAAGGATTGACTTTGGCTCACAGTTTGAGGTGGTCCATCATGGCAGTGACAGCATGGGGCAGGAACTTGAGGCATCTAGTCATGCTAGATGGTCAGGAAGCCACTCACATTCATTCTTCATTCCAGAACCCCACCCCCCGGAATGGTGCCACCCACACTCAGGGTGAATTTTAGGACCTCGATTAACCTCCTCTCAATGATGCCCTGCGGGCATTTCCTGTGGCTTGACTCTAGGATGGTCCTAGAGTCTGTTAGTTGACAGTGTTAACCATCACACTGCATTACCTCACTGACATGATGGCCTTTTCTTACATACTCAGGTTTGATGTGTGTTAAATGCCTCTCCTCCATCTCCCTGCTTCTCCCCCACTATGTCCCCTTCCTCTTCCTATCATATGTGTTCTGTTACCCTCCCTTCTGTCCACTCCAAAGTTTCCTTTTAGCCTCCCATGGACCCCTTTATAGTTTCCTGGCCTCTACCCATACTTACTCCCACACAAATACACATGTATAAAAACATAGGAGCTAAGATCTGAGTATGACAGAGAACATGTTGAAATGCTAATAGAAAAGTAATTTTTTAATTAATAAAAAAAGTAAAGATATTGGAGAGGAAAGGGCTCCTATTAACCCAAGGGCCACTACTCTGAGAGTCCCTACCGTGACACCCCTCATCCGGCTCACAAAACAGGAGTCTGTAGGGCCAAGGAGAAGCCCCACTGAGAGCCCTGTCTCTGTTGACACTTCCCACACCAGGAACCCAAAATCTTTAGGGCCCCTCCAGATGTGCTGCACCAAGGCTCAAGGACTTGGGAGGCAAGAAGAGCTGTGTCCCAGTACCCGCAAAGGTAGATGCTGGGACAGAGGCAGTGAGAGGGGGTGGGTGCTAGAAGTGAAGGCCAGAGAGACACCCCTTCTGGTTGAGGTTAAATAGCCCACCCCTTTGTCTCGCCACAAGATAGAAAGAGCAGTCATGTTCTCCAAAGCCTTCCGAGTAACCACAGACATTGTGTTTGGTAAGGAGAAGCTCGTGTTCAAACAGGCAATTTCACTGGGTCCAGAGGAAACCTATCAATTTCCTAACCGGCAAGAACCAGAATGGAAGCCAATCTCAGACAGTGTCCTGAGAAGCTGTTTTATCTGCTGCCATGGTGTCACCCCTAATAATCCTAGCAGCTAAGTTTACTTTCCATCTGCCTCGTGAGATCTAGTGAAGAGACAAAGCTGGACTGTGGAGACCTAGTGGCCATGGCTGTCTGTTCAAGTGACTGTGGTCCAGAGCACAGCATGAAGATAGGATGAGAGCTGCTGGCATCATGAAAGCCTGTGTGGCAACTGAGGCTGTGGGACTGTTAATGGGGAATATTAGACATAATAATGGTAAGATGGTGATACACCTGCAGTGGGTGGTCCAGAAAGGAAGCTGACTCTTGCTTCTCTTCAGAAAGTGCAGCAGGTGCCTTAGGGAAAAGGGCCATGAGGTGGAAGGAATAACATTAGATGGAAACAGTACCATATGTGGAGATCTGGACATGATGGCGCCTGAGAGGGAAGGAGAGGCTTCCTTGAAACCTGAAGATGAGCTTAAGAAAGATGGTGGTGGTGCCCGCCTTTAATCCCAGCACTCGGGAGGCAGAGCCAGGTGGATCTCTGTGAGTTCAAGGTCAGCCTGGGCTACAGAGTGAGATCCAGGACAGGCACCAAAACTACACAGAGAAACCGTGTCTCGAAAAATCAAGAAAGAAAAAAAGAAAGAAAGAAAGAAAGAAAGAAAGAAAGAAAGAAAGAAAGAAAGAAAGAAAGAAAGAAAGAAGAGAAAGAAAAATGGGGTATGTGTGTGTGTGTGTGTGTGTGTGTGTGTGTGTGTGTGTGTGTGTGTGTGTTTAGAGAAAGAGCGGGAAACAATACAGCCTGGTAAGGGATGGCAGGGGTAGGGTGCAAAAGAGACTCTTTAGAGAACAGCCTTCATCAGGGGGCTGGCAGGAAGTTTCATATCACATGATTTGGTTCAACAAAACATGTGACAAAGCATGGCGGATCCAGGCATTGGTTAGGGTCCTAGACTGGGGGCACGGCACAGAAAGGTTTTAATGCTCCAGACCACAGAAAGCCTCAGAGTGCTGAGGTTAACTGTCTGGGGTATAGGATCTAGCCTTTTCAGAGTGATCACTGCATTTGAGGTGTGGGCCTGGGTTCTAACAGAGGGGCTCCAGTTTCCCCTGAACTCAGCCTCAGGGGTGGTCTTGGAAAGGGGATTCAGACAGGATGGGGTAGTGGCTCAGTGGGGTTTATTAGAACAAGCAAGGAAGCAAGAATATATTCTTAGGACCAAGCAGAGCAGCACCAACCCTCTTGTCCTAGCATGGGCTCCATATCTTTCTTTCTGTTCTCCCCTTCTCTGTGACTTCCCCGGCCCGGGGAATTTCAGGAAAGAGGCAGGCTTGTCATGGAAGCATGCTTTAGCCAGAATTCAGTCTGTTATAAGTAAGTATATAAAATCCAGAAATACATATATGCAGGGTTTCAATGCCCTTGAAGTTGAAAGGCTCCCTAGGAGAAAGGGCAGCAGTACTGTACACATGCTGACCAGGGAAGTGAGTCTCCCAGGAGCTGCTTTGACCCAACTACTTTCTTTGCTTGCTGTTTGGGGGCCCTGAGCTGGCCCGTCTGGAGTCAACCACCACTGCTGTCTTTACATCCTGTTTCAGAGTCCTGAGCAGGTCAACCTATTTTTCTTTATGTCCTATTTTTGGGGGGCTCTGTTGGTCAGACTCTCCAGGAGTTAGCGCCTGCCTAATAGGACCAGTTACTACCCTAACAGAGTAGGCTCCCAGAGAAACGGAACACCTAAAAGAAAGGAGGTGACACAGGGCCTTTAGGAAGGGACAGAGGCCAGGGACTGCAGAGGGCTGTGTACTGGAGTTAGGGCTCCCCTCTTCCGGGGAGCACCCACTACCATGAGCACAATGCAGCCAGTCAGAAAACATTGTGTCCAAAGGGAAGGAATGGCCACATAAAAAGCAGTTTATAAACAAGTTTGCTGGCCCCGGGTCCATGTGAATCTTCATTTCTTCCTCTGTAGAACTGTAACAGTGCTGACGTGCAAGTCCAGGTACATTGGCTGGGGTATTACACATGGGTTTCAAGGTCTTTGTTCTTCATGATGCAAATAACAAATGTGTGTGTGTGTGTGTGTGTGTGTGTGTGTGTGTGTGTGTGTGTCCTATTTGGGATGCAACCCAGCACCTTGTGCATGCTTTGCTATCTATTAATTAGCCCCTAGCTGGATGATTCTGGGCAGGTGCTCCACCACTGAGCCACACCCCCACCCCTCACTGGGGGATTCTAGGCAGGTGCTCCACCACTGAGCCACACCTCCAGCCCCTCACTGGGGGATTCTAGGCAGGTGCTCTACCACTGAGCCACACCCCAGGCCCTCACTGGAGGATTCTAGGCAGCTGCTCTACCACTGAGTCACACCCCCACCCCTCACTGGGGGATTCTAGGCAGGTGCTCTACCACTGACCACACTTCAGCTCCTCACTGGGGGATTCTAGGCAGGTGCTCTACCACTGAGCCATGGCTCCAGGCCTTCACTGGGGGATTCTAGGCAAGCACTGTGCCACTGAGCTACACCCTGCCTCCTTTTTACTTTTTGAGACAGAATCCCACAGGTGGTCCAGGCTCCCCTTTAACTTAAGTTACTCTGTAGCCCAGTGTTCTAATTTGGTTTCTATTGCAAGGATAAAATACTGACTAGAACAGACTTTTGGAGGGAAAGGTTTGCTTTAGCTTACAGGTTATACCCTATCATCAAGGGAAGTCAGGACTGGAGCTCAAGGAAGAAACCAGGAGGCAGGAACGATAGAGGAACAGTGCTTACTGGCTAGCTTCCCTGACTTGCTTAGCTACCTTTCTTCAGGCCCACCTGCCCAGGGAAGATACTGGCCACAGTGGACTGGACCCTCCTACATCCAGTAGCAACAAGAAAATGCCCTGTTCCATGTTCACAGGCCAGTACAATGGAGACGGTGCCTCCATTAGGCTCTCTCTTTCCAGGTATGTTTGGGTTTGACAATAACTATTCCAGGGAGACAAGCCTTGACATTTGATCCTCCTGCCTCAGCATCTTGAGTAGATCCCAAATGTACAACATCAGGCCTAGCAGAATACTTAAAAGGTAGTTTCAATGCCTTATAGATAACTAGGTAAAAGCAGCAATGGACAGTGTTCAGAATGTTCAGGATCCACGCAACTTACATTCTAATGAAAATGAACCAATGATTATGCAGGTCTACTTATATTTCTAAGACCCAGAATTTAGCCCTGAAGGAGGGACCCTGAGCTGCAGGCTGTGTCTTGCCCACCCCCGCAACTCTTAACAAAAGACTTTGGCAATGGAGATAAAAACACACACGTGGGCATCCGCAGGACTGGCACACACTGGGTGCTGTGAACCTGGCTCCTGCGTTTGCAGAGCAGCAGGTGTAAATAGAGTTTTGAAAGGGCCCTGCGCTATGAAGTCTGAGTCTTGGATAATTCGGAGTAAGAGCTGAGGTAACAGTATTATCTCAAAATTGTGCCTTAAGCCTGTGCACTGTCCGAGTTTGGAAGGTGAGGTGTACGGAATGTACAAAGGGCCAGTGGGAGTTGCCCGTAGTGTGGAGGAACTTTATCTCACCCAGAGAGGCAGAGGAAGACAACCTTCCAGAAGAGCATTTATTCATTGTCTGCTGTGTGCCAAGATCGTTAGATCCCTGATGGTGATTCAATGTTCACAAATGATCTCAGGGGCTCTGATCTCCATTTTCACAGGTGAACAAAATGAGATCGTAAAAACCAAACGACTCACCCTGGCTGGTAATGACAGAGCTAAATTTGAACTCTGCTTGGCCAGCCCCACAGTGGAGGCTTAGGTTGTCCTGGAAGAGCAGAGAAGGGTGTGGGGGAATTTGATGGACAGATCTTTCCTTCCTTTATCAGAGAGGCCTTAAGATTGGCCTGGATGCAGGATGGACCCCGGCAGGATGGAGGCATGGGCTGAGACTGAGGCAAGAGGAATGAGGGGGGGGGCAGCTATGGTCAGAGGCAAGATCTGAAGAGTGGGCGGGGCCAGAGGCATTTGCACATAGGACGGTAGTGAAGTTAACTTAGAGCCAGGGTTCGCTCCCTGGACACCCTGTGTTTAACCTGCCTGTCTACTCCAGGCATCCTTGGTGAAGGAAGTCCCAGTAGACCCTGGCCTACTGCAGGCTTCTGTTTCCTGCCCTCCTTCGCATTCAGCCTCACTTGTCTCTAAGATGGTCTGGTTCGTCCAGCCACCTGCCAGCTATCACTTACTGCACACGGCTCTCCGGGCTGAACAGGGCTCCCAACACAGGTATGGCAATGGAGAAAGCGTCCTTCGGGAGCATGCCTCGTAGACCTCTCAAGGGACACCAGATTCTTACTCTGTGTGCCGCTGAATATGGTCTCAGCTCTCTCCAGTCTACATGTAGGGCAAGTGTCCTGCTTTTTCTGTTTTTATTTCTGATTTTACCTTCAAGTCTTTTCTTTATTCTTGATAATTTTGTGCATATATACAAGGATATATGATCATGTCTACCCTTCCAACTCCCTCACTATCCCCCCTAACACATCCCTTTGATGTGTGTGTGTGTGTGTGTGTGTGTGTGTGTGTGTAGAGAGAGAGACAGAGAGAGAGACAGAGAGTCAGAGAGACAGAGACAGAGAGAGATCTCCCACTAAGTCCAATTGGAGCTATCCCTATGTGCGTGGATGTGGGGCCATCCACTGGAGTGTGGGAATCCCACCAGTGGCCACATTCTCAAAAAAGAACAATCCTCTCCAGGGGATTCAACACCCTCTTCTGGCTTCCAAGATATATCTATACATGTGGCACACATATATACACTCAGACCCATACACATACACATAATATTAAAAGTAAATAAATCTTTGGGCTGAAGAGATGGCCCCGTGGTTAAGAACACTTACTGTTTTTGCAGAAGACCCGGGTTCAGTTCCCAGCACCCACATCAGGTGGTTCTCAACTGCCTGTAATTCTAGTTCTCGGGGATCTGACATCCTCTTCTGGTTTCCATGGCACCTGAATGCACATGGTACACATAAACTCACGCAGACACACACACACATATACATTAGATAGATAGATAGATAGATAGATAGATAGATAGATAGATAGATAGATAGAAAGAACCTTCTCTGGCCAAAGTCTGTGGGTATAAACACAAATATTTAGGAGACACTTGGAGAGCATGACCATTTAGGAAAATAACAATAGTCTAGTCTCTCCTAGGGTCTAGGACCTCCTCAGCTATGGACTTTTGAACAGGATTGTATTATCAGGCATGAAACTCCCCCTTGTGGAGCAGACCTCCAATCTAGTCAGAGTGGCTAGTTACCCCATAACAGTCAGCCACTATTATACAGTGGCACATCTTGCCGGGCAGGCCAGCATTGCAGCATGTGACATGTGTCCTCTTCTTCTGCCTTCCCAAGAGGATTTGGAACATCATTGTCACCATAATGTATTCATTTCTTTAGCAAAGTGTTAGGAACATCTCCAGGTGCCTAGCATAGTTCTTCATGCTAGAGCGGCAGGATACCCTCAGGCCACCCTGGCCCCTGTCTTTAGGGATGTAAAGTGACAGTGTGGCCATGATAAAGACGACAAAGGAGGGCCAAGGATGTGGCTCAGTTGGCAGAGTGCTTGCCTAGCATGCACAGAGCTCTGAGTTCCATCTCCAGCACCACATAGATGAGGTGGCAAGTGCCTGCAATCCCAGTTCTTGAGAGACGGAGACAGGAGGATCAGGAATTCACAGCCCTCTTCAGGTACATAGTAAATTCATAGCCAGTCTTAGCTACAGACTCAAAAGAAAAAAAAGAAAGAAAGAAACAAGAAAGGAAAGGAACAGGGCAATAGGACATCCGGGACAGTTATCATGTGATGAACACTTTCTTTAGCTTTTTAATACCTGAAAAATAATGATGATAACAGCTGTGCATGTATGTGTGGGTGGGGATGTGTGCACATGTGTATGTAGGTACAATCACACATAGGTTAGATGAGGATGACATCTGTCAGTCTCTATCTTATTCCATTGAGATGGGGTGTCTTACTGAACCTGGAGCTAGTCTGGCAGGGAGTAAGCCTCCTCACCCCCCACCCCTGGCAATCATCCTGTCTCCAACCTCTCCTTCCCCCCAGCACTGGGGTCACACACACACACACACACACACACACACACACACACACACACACACACAGCCATAAGCCATGTGGTATTAGGGATTTGAACTCGGGTCCTCTCCATGCTTTCACAGCAAGCATTCTTACCCACTGAGCCATCACCCCAGCCCCATTCCAGCCCTTTTAAGTGAGCACTTACTACAGACTCTCCCAAGTGCCTCATCTGATGTGATTCTTGGGACAGCTTCTTGATGTCCATCTATTAGCAGCCCAGATGAGGAAGTGTCCTCAAAGTGGCCTGTCCAAGCATGGCTGGGACTGAAGAACTGGAAGGTATACTTCAGAGCCCATATTTTTAGGAACCCCATTCTGCCTTCAACACAGGAAAGAAGTGGGTAGTTAACTCAAGTGTGGGCTGCTCGGCATGTGAGGCTGGGAAATGACAGGGGACAAGCAGGCATTTATCCCCGAGACTAGACACAGTAGCTTCTGGGAAGCCCGGAACAGGTGGACGAGGTTTGTTTGAGCTAAACAAAAGCTGTCCTCAGAAACCACAGCAAAGATCATTCTAGGCAGCGGGCCTTCAGGGGACTTTTCAGTTAAGCTGAGTTAAACCAACCAAGACCAGATTCTCCTGGTTGCTGCTGGCGAGGCCAGGCCTGTAGTGTTCTAGGTATTGACAAGGCCAGACTGTTCCCAGGGCTTTTAGTCATGCGTCCCTTCAGGCTTTAGAGAAAAGCTATCATCCACTGTATCCAGAGGAAAAGGGGCACACAAGTGCTGATCCTGGAGTCTATGTAAAAACACAGTTCTCTCCTCAAGGGGTAGGAGAATTTATTCCGGAGTCAAATACAAGTGGCCATAGTCTAGAAATACAGATCCAGGCTACCCCAAATGCCATGTTCCGATGTGGTAACCGGTTCATGGAGTTTTTGCAGTAATAACCAGGAAAGTCCTAAGTCAGGTAGAAACCACAGGTAGGCAGGTTACAGCAGAGCGGGGAATCTCTGTACAGCTTCAGGTGCTGTCTGGAGACATTCTTAGCCAGAGGCCCCCTTGTACCTTCTGAAAGGATTTGCCTAGAAGTCACATGGGTGTTAGATCAGACACAGAGGTGGGTATAGACGGCTGTTTAGAGGGCTGATGGGAGCCCAAGATAGCTCCTTCCCTGTATGCAACGTTCTAGAAATTCTAATCAGCCAAGCAGCCATGTCGACGGGCTTTTTCTTTTCTTTCCTTTTCTTTTTCTTTCTTTCTCTGCCCCCCACCCCACCTCCCACTCCCTGGGAACTGAAACTGATTATGGGTTTTCTAAAGAATAGAGCTCATCTTGGAAGCCACCATTTCCCTATTGTCCCATTTCCTGCCTGTGAAGTGGTGCCCTGATGATCCTGCCTGAGGACTTGTCCCCAGTGCAAGCTGGACCGGGCATGCTCGCCCTTGGTGTGGCATGGGCTCAGCACCGGAAGGGAGAAGGCTCCTATGGTCATGCCTGGCTGGGGTGGGGCAGAGACATTGGTGAATTCAAGGAGGTTGGCAGCTTTGCTATGGATATGTGAGAGCTGGAAGACAGATCTTATCAGTTCTCCCCTAGAGTCCCACTGCGGGCTCTACCCCTCCATCCTTGGGCTAGGCAAGCAGTAATTTTACTGTGTAGCATCTTATTAAAGAGGAATCAAATGTCTCTGGACAAGATTTTCTCACTGATGTCTCCCTTGGTGAAACCATCTCTTCCTGGACATCATGGCAGTCTAGGGGCCCCTGAAAGGCCCTAGTAGCTATATCCAGGGAATGGTGGTTCCATCTCTCCTGGTGGCAGGTAACCCAACTTCTCAGGTTCCAGGTCAGGAGAGACATCTGTCTACCCTCTCCCCACCATGATTTTCTACTCATTACAGAGACAAGAAGTCACTGGTATCTTTCCATTGCAGGCTGAGGCCTTTCACCTCCTACAAGCTACGCCTGAAGGCCACCAATGACATCGGGGACAGTGACTTCAGTGCAGAAACAGAGGCCGTGACCACCCTGCAAGACGGTGAGCAAAAGCCAGCCCAATGCAACCACTCCCCACTGCTCTGCTGAGACCAGAGGACACCTTCCTCCCAGAAAGAGACCCTGCTCCAGTCTTGAGCAGAGAGGAGAGGTCACCAGGGAGGGTGACAAGCAGCAGAAGTCCATTAGTAACTGACAGCCTGGGGTGTTCCTACACACCCCGTGCTCATAAATCAAGGTCCCCCGGAGAGCTTCCAGATGGAATGGAACTCCCTCTGATTGGCTTCCAAAACCTTCCTCCATCAGAAATTGAATAATTAATGGGGGTTGTTAAAAATAAATGTCGGCAGGGAAGCTGGGTCCAAGCAGTTTCAGACCCCTGCCCCCCCAAGCACCAGGTGGTTTCTTCACCCACTTCTGACCTCAGAGGCACTGGGCCTGAAGATACACTGTCATCTGGATGACCTGCTCCTGGGTGTGGGGGGGAGTGCAGTGAAGCTGTAGACGGCTCTAACAGACACAGCCATCGCCTGACACATGCGATGGGAGGAGATGGATACCCAGCAACTCTCAGCTCAGCCTCAAAGCCCGGGCACTTAGTTCAGCCACCAGGGCTTTGCCGTAACTCCCAGAAAGCTCTGTCTCTTCCATTTAACGCTCCAGTGAGATGGTTTCCAAATGGGCCAGGTCCCGGCTGCCTCGCCCTGTGACCCCACATCATGTGTCTTTCCCCTACCCCGACCTCACCCCCCACCATGCAGATGCTTTTCAGAGCCTAGAAGTTTAACTTCTACCACACAAAGTTTCAGGGCACCGCAGGGACTAGCCCAGGGGTGGAAGTGAGCCCTTTTCAGCTTCCCAGCCATACTCAGATGTTGAAGTAAAAATCAATACAACAAACAAACAAAAGCCAGGTCTCACCTCAACAGCAATGGGAGATGCTTTACTTGGGGCCAACTATGAGTGATCATGGTCCAGGGGAACACGGATTCGGGTCGCCCCCAATACTGCCATGTTCCGACATGTTAACAAATTCCACACGGTTTGTATAGTGGCAGGACAAAGGACATTTTAAATCAAGAACAATTTTGAATACCAAGTAGGCAAATTACAGTAGTCTCCACTTTAGACCTCAGATTTATCTGGTGATATGTTTTAGCCTCTGAGTGGTGAAGCTAGGGGTCTGTTTGTCCATTCCAAAAGGACTTACGTCACGAGGGGGTTAGATTGCACACAGCGTTAGGCAGAAAGTGGCTCTTTAGGGACTAAGATGGCCCAAGACAGCTCAACTCTCAACCTGCAGTGTTCCAGCTCTCCTTGGTCACAGTTCCAATGGTCTCTTGATCAGCCTTGAAGAATGGTTAATGTAGATGCAGCTCTCCCCCCACCCCCCAAGAATTTAAGTCAATACAGAATTTTGCTACAAACCCAGCATCCCCACTGTGGCTGGGTCTCCTGGTCTGGTACCTGATGAGAGGGACTCTAAGCTTCCCCAAATCCCTGGAGAAATGGATCCTGTGCCTGTGTCTCCTGAAAGCTGATGAGACCCTGATGCAGGTGTCTGGGCTCAGAAGCAGCAGAGCTCAGGGAGGAACTATGACGTTGTGCAGGAAACTGGGTGGTCCAAGGTGCCTGGCGGGAGAGTTGGGAGACCACTCAGAAGCAAAACCCTTCCAATCGCTGCTAAGGATATGTGGAGGGAGAAAGTCTATCATTGAACTCACTTAAAAGTGAGGGCTTGCAGGCAGGACAGATGGCTCAGTGGGTAGCGTCCTTGTTGATCAAGCATGAGGACCTGAGTTCAAGTCTCCATCACCCAGGTAAAAAGCCCAGCAATGCTTGTAATCCCAGCTGGGGATCCCAGGGATTAGCTAGCCAGCCAGTCTAGCCAAAGTGGGGAATCTTGATATTCAACAAGAGCCCCTCAAAACTAAGGTAGAAAGTAGCAGAAAGATATCCCACTTTAACTTCCAGCCTCCACATGCTCCCCCAAAGACCAGCATGGGGCATAAACATGTACACACATGCAGAGAGCCTCCATACACAAACACACCAAAGGGGTGTGGAACAAGGGCAAAAAGTCAGCATCGAATGAAAACTGAAAAAAAAACCACCTCATTTTTATCTTGCATCAGACACAATGGAGAGAATATTTGCAATGGTATACTAATTCTTAGAAGAAAGAACCAGACACCCAGCAAGCTGCTGTCTTTGTTGAGTTATCTCTGACAAACAGGGAGCTCCGGATCCTGACAGGCGCCCAGCGACCTCAGGGAATGGGCCATTTCAAAAAAGCTATTCAAGGAACTCTCCAGGCTCCCCAGGCCCCTTCTCAACCCTTTGATATTCAAATGCGGCTTTTGAGGCCCTATCTCATCATCTTCCTTGTCTGAGACTTGCAATTTCCCTTTGTGGATGGATTTGCATTGTGTTTGTGGCCCTTTGTCTCCCTCTGTGAGGTGGAGATTGACTGGCTAGACCAAGCCTAGCCTAGCTGGAAGAGAGGGGGCCTTTGATGACTGATTAACACTTCCTACTTCCTGTGCTAGGGATGGAGCCCCGGCCTTGCAGGTGCTCACCTCAGCCCTTGCTCAGGCATTCTAGGCAGGTGCTCTACCACTGAGCCACACCCCAGTCCCTCACTGAGGGATTCTAGGCAGGTGCTCTACCACTGAACCACACCCCAGCCCCTCACTGAGGGATTCTAGGCAGGTCCTCTACTACTGTGCCACACCCTAGCCCCTCACTGAGGGATTCTAGGCAGGGGCTCTACCACTGAGCCACACCCCAGCCCCTCACTGGGGGATTCTAGGAAGGTGCTCTACCACTGTGCTACACCCCAGCCCCTCACTGAGGGATTCTAGGCAGGTGCTCTCCCACTGAGCCACACCACAGCCCTGATTGCTGAATCTTGACTCATCACACATTCCTGACATCCTTCTCTGATAAAGTAGTTTTAAACTTTTGAGCTTATGATCCTCTCCCTGTGCCTTCCAAGTCCCCAGGATCTCAAGCATGGTGATGCCTGATTCCACATTTTATTTATTTATTTATTTATTTATTTATTTATTTATTTATTTATTTATTTATTTATTTATTCTTTTTAATGACAGCTATGAGAGTTTCAAGGCTTTGTATGTGGGCTCAGCACTCAGACAGAACAGCAACTGTGTGGGGCAAGATGGGTTTTTGTTGTTGTTGTTTGTTTGTTTTTAGATGTATTTATTTTATGTGCATTCATGTTCTGCATGCATTGCATGTATGTCTGTGTGAAGGTGCTAGAGTCTCAGATAGTTGAGAGCTAGCATGTGGGTGCTGGGAATTGAACCTGGATCCTCTGGAAGAGTAGCCAGTGCTTCTTAACCTCTGAGCCATCTCTCCAGCCTCTACATTTTCTTAGTAGGCTGATATTTATCAACTGCACAGGGTTGTTGGGCTGGATAGAGGTCCACATTGACAACAGACCACTAGAAGGTTTTAGACCAGTGGTTTTCAACCTTCCTAGTGATGTGACCCTTTAATACAGTTCCTCATGTCATGGTGACCCCAACCATTGTTGTGCCCAGATCGTGACCCCCAGAGAGACCACCAAAGACGAGCATGCCGGAATGCAAAAGCAAGGTTTAATTTCAAGATATCCAAAAGCAATACAAGCCTAGGCAGGGACTTCGTCCAATACATCCAACACTGTGGAGGCTGGAGGAAGTGCCCGCCTGTCTGCAAGCTCAATTTTTAAAGGGAAAAATCACAAGGTTACATTGTTTAGGGGTGCTAGTATGGGTACAATTCTGATTGGCTCGCTTCTAGGGGCTTCTAGAAATTACTTCTAAGGGAGTGGTTGCCCGCCACCATTTCTCATTGACTGCCCTCAGGTGGGGGCATTTTTATGGTCAGTTACCCTGGAAACCAGGGAGAGGACATTCCATAGTCTGGCAGGCATTACCTCGTGACTACCTTGTGACTCTGTACTTTTATACTTCCTGGTTTCTGGAATCTGGACTGACTTGTTTCAGTAACTATTGGCCTATTCCTAGAAGGAGAAATCTTAGGCCTTAGTTTTTGGGTGAAGGCATTTTGGTCTTATTTCTAAGATGGCTCATTTTGGTTTCACACCATGAAATTATGTTCATTGCTACTTTGTAACTGTACTTTTGCTACTGTAATTGTAAATATCTGTGTTTTCCAATGGTCTTAGGGGACCCCTGTGAAAGGGTTGATTGACCCACAAAGGGGTCGTGACCCGCAGGTTGAGAACCACTGGTGACACTGGGGTCCATCTGTGTGACTGAGGACAGAGGGCCTGGAGGATTCAGCCAAGAATCAGTCGGGAACAAACCTGGAATATAAAGTAAACAGCCTGGTACACATGTAGGTGATGGAACATGTCCAGTCCTGTTCCCCTCCATAAGCCCTTATTGAAAAGACCCTTATTGCCTCACAGGTACAGCCAGGGGGCACAGAGAGGTCAGTTTAGTACACAAGAGAGGACCATGTGACCTGGAGAGCGCAGAAAGGCCTCCAGCACCTGATACATGGCAAGGCTTCTGCTTTGATCCAAAAGGAGGCTTGTCCATGACAGGGCCCAGACCAGCCTTGTTCTTCCAGAGACCAGAGCAGCTTCCTGGCCTTGCCTTCTGGCTGGCCATCAGCAGTTTCATCTCTACCAACAGTCACATCAGTGTTTCAAACGAAGAACATGGTGACCTCACTGTGACCACCTGGCCTGCTCACAGGGAACCACTGTCACCTATGGTCTTAGAAAATGTTGTCTAATTCCCATTCCCAAAGACTTGGAAGCCCAGGAAGGGTCTTGGGCAGGAGCTACCAGAGTGCTGTGGGTGGCCTGAGGGGACCCACGGGAGTTCTGACTCACCTATATGCCACAGTGGGGTTAAAGGAGGACTGCCGCGTGGGAGCCATCCTTGTTACATTAGGCAGATGAATGTGAAGGTACCTGAAGGAAGGAAAGGCACCCCAACTGAAGGGAGTCTGGCACCCAACAGAACCATTCTAACTCTGCTTTCTTCCATCTGCTGCAGTTCCAGGAGAGCCTCCAGGGTCTGTCTCAGCCACACCACACACCACTTCCTCAGTCCTGATCCAGTGGCAGGTAAGAGCCAAGGGAACCTCACTTATTTCTGAAGCACACCTTCGTGTCCTGGTTCAGTCAACCAGGACAACTGTACAGAGTTTGCACACAAGCCACACCCATGCCAAGTATGTGACTATAAGGGAGGAAACAGCCTGGTTGAGTTCCACAGAGCCCCCAGCTGAGGAATGACAGCGGGAACCTGCAGGAGAGGGCTGGTCCAGGGCTGGGCTGCTCCACACCCAGGTCTCCAGAGCTGCAGCCTATCCTCACACCAATGGGCTCACAGAGCACAGGGATGAGAAAAGAAGCGGGCCTTCTAGCCAGTGCGGGACACTCCGGAGAGGCCCTATGGCCTCGAGGGTGGGCAGGTACTGTGGGCTGTATGCAAACAGCCACTGGAAGGCCTGGTCAGCCCAAGTTGGTCTGCTGTGAGCTGGGGATGGAGAGGGTGGACCAGGTGGCATGAGACTCTTCCTTGAGGTTGATGGTGTTGCCCAGGGGGATGGCAGGTGCCAGTATGAATGCAGAGATACAAGCACCTCGGTGGCTCTGTGTTGGTCAGACTTTCAGTATGTGACAAAATAACATGGGGTGGGAGAGGGGGGACAACACAAAAGAGGGAAGACACTGAAATAACCCAATTCCAGTGAATCACAGGTCATCCTGAAACTCATTCTAAAAGAACTATTTACATGACCCCGGGGGCATGGGAACATGCTGGGTGGCAGGGGCTTATCTCTGAAGATGGAAGGCCAGGGTCAGGACTCACCTCTCATAGACACCTGCAGGTGCCTGGGCAATGAATGAGCAAGGCCCTCTGGGCAGGATGGCGTGAGAGCTGTGTGGCCCCCACTTGGTTCAAGCATCATGGACAATTCAGAGCAGAGGCCCAGGAGTGTCGGATGGAGCCTGGGGCCTGCGCTAGGAAGGAAAAGAGGGACAGGGACAGGCAACTGGAGGAGCCACCTAACACCCAAAGTCCTCATCACCCCTGCACTATGTTGTCTCTTGGTACCTAAGTGCTAGGTTGTATCTTATATTAGGTACTTTCCTCTTTGCTGAGAAAATATCTGGCACGAAGCAGGTTAAGGGGGTAGGGAGGGCTTATCTAGGCTTACAGTTTGAGAGTCAAGCCATCATGGTGGGGAAGGCATGGTAACAAGAGCGTGAAGTGGCTGGTTACACGGCACCCACAGCACCCACAGTCAGGATGCAGAGAGAGATGGATGTTGGGCCTCAGATCACTTTCTCCTTGTTGTTCAGTCTGGGACCTCAGCACATGGCATGATACTACTCACCATTAGGGACCATCTTCTCACCTCACTTATCCTAATCTAGAAATGTCTACATAAACATGCCTACAGATCTGTTTCCTATGTGATTTTAAATCCTGTCAAGTTGACAGCCAGTATTAATTCCCATGGATTCTATGAAGCACAAAAGTAGGTTCAACCTAATGGAATTTGACACTATCACCTACGGGAGGGACAGAGAAGAGGACTTTAGCAGCGAAGGTCTCTGCTGAGAGTATAACATCTTCCCCTCACCAACAGAGTCACCATCTAGTGACAGGTGCTTTTCAAGGCCACAAAAGATTTTTCCACATGTTTCCTGGTGACACTGGCAGTTCACTGCTGTATACTCAGCCTTCTCTGGTGTCACCAGTGTGTAGGGGACAGAACAAGAAGGGGTCAGCCTGGGCCCCCATCTGCCCCAATATGTCAAGGAGTCATCCATGGCAAATAACAAAGAACCTTGACCTTGGCATGCCAGAGGCCTCTCTGGATCCAGGTACTTCCTCAAACAAGCAGCTGCCATGGATGCTCCATCTCTGACATCACACATCCGCATTCCCAAGGGCCCTGCTTCAGCCCTGACTTCCATCCATGGCTGTGCTGGGAGGCCAGTAACATTCCAAGCAGAAATTCAAAGTCCCAAGTGCTGTGTCTCTTGCCCTCCACAAGCACACCAGGATTGGTCTTGCTGTCAACAGCTGCTGGGATGGGAACACAGCTCCACACGGTCCCCTGCGGCAGCCCAGAGAGGTCCCTTAATCGCTTAGGGACCTTGACTCCCATAAAGCCAGATCTTTGTTTTCAATGCAGAATGGAATTTCAGGATCAGCCAGTGTGAAGCAGAGTTGGAATCTATTAAAAGTAGACAGAGAGGCACCAGGCAAAGAGTCAGATGTGCCTGAGTGAGCACAGCTTCCCAGAGAAGGTCCCACTGCAGGGTCTTCACTGTGACTCCATTTTGGAAGCTTCTGGAATTTCATTGCTTAGTGGGTTTCTAAGGGGCCCTCCCCTTCCCTGCCTCTGTCCCCCTCTTTGATAATTGAGACCATAAGGGAACTCCAGAGACGCCTTGGGTTGGGTCATATATAATCTGATAGTGTGAAAATGAGCTGCAAAGGCTGTGCAGGGGGGTTAGGGCTTGTTATTTTTTTACTGTCAATGGAGTTTCTGGTGAGATTCCTGGGAAACTGCAGGTTACATCTGAGAGGGGAGAAGGGCCTTAGGCAAATGTGTCTGAATTGATTCTCAGCTAGTGAAAGGCTTCAACCGGGCTCCAGGGTGAGGAACTCCTTTCTCTCCTCATGCCCATCATTTTCCCTGCCTTTCTATACTGCCTCCATTCCTACTGTGCCAAATTCTACTAGAAAATTAGTGTTTTATTTGTAGATGTGGCAGCTGGCCTGCCAATAATGAGGTACACATCTTTTCCACAGAGGCAGCCAGTGCTCCGGGCGGGGCGCATCATCCCCCCTGAATAAAGTTGCTATGGTGCCGAGTTGCTGCCGGTCCCAGCCGGTAACAGCACAGGTGTCAAGTGTCTTCCATGGCTGCTGGACAGCCTGTGAAGTGGCATGGAGCCGCACCAAAGGAACTTGGCATATGTGCTCATCAGCTGTGCCCTCCAGTGCCCAACAGAACAAACGGATTTCAAAAAGCCCAGAGCAAGAGGTGGCCAGTCCAGTGTATTGTAGAAATAAATGCCTGTCAACCAGCAGGCGATTGAAACACAATTAAAATTATGAGTAATTTAGGAAATCAGAGACTGGACCAAAGAAAGCAGAGCTACATCTAAATATAGATTCTCTTCCCCAGGAAGCGTCTCACCTGTAACTTTTTTTTTTTTTTAGCAATTTGCTGAAAAAAAAATATATATATATATACACATACATACATACATACACACACACATACATACATACAAACATGGGCTGTAATTTAAAGGCTGTGGCCCTCATCAATGCCCTCCCCACAGCGGACTGCTGGGCTTCAGGCCTCCTAGGGGGACAATCAGACTTCACCTTTAGCAGTGTCCTACGATTTGAATGTGCATTACTTTTGCAATGAGTTCTGCTCATCCCAGGGTGGACGCTTCTGAACTGAGGATGACAACATTGACTGTCCCCATGAGCCACTCTGTGCACTGATCCCACATGCCCTGACACCACAAGGTGGGTGTTTTGGTTGTTTTGCTCCTTGCTGTGACAGAACACCTTCTGGCTCACAGTTCTAGGGTGCTGCGGGTTGTGGTGGGATGGCATGACAACAGGGTCTTGGACACTAGGTTGCATTGTGTGCACTGTCAGGAAACAGAGAGAGGTGAATGCTGGGGCTCACCTTTGTATTCAGGACCCCGGCCCATGGAATAGTTCCACCCACATTTCTACCTCAGCACAGTCTAGAACCTTCCTCACAGGCATGCCCAGATACTTCCTAGCAAATGAAAGACCTGTTCCTTTTCCTTCTGTGAGTGTAATGGTGGCCAAGACAAAGGCCATGCAGCCTCAGCCATGGGCAGCTGAGAACCCAGGGTTTATTTTCTTTGCTCAAAGGGGCCATGGGCTGGGCTGACAGGAACATATGGGAAGGCAGTGAAGAGAGGCTGTGCCCGAGGGACAAATGAACACACTAGACAGAGTGGCGAGGTCTTCCCCAGAGGACAAAGCAGAGAGAAGGTCCAGCCTGGGCAAAGACTCAACTGTAAAGTTGCTGGCTGTCGTGGTATAAATATGGTATGTCCCCCAAACATCTAATGGATGGCCTGCTTGGTTCTGGACATGAGTAGCCAGTTATGGGACTTCAGGGAGCTAGCTGGATAAGGGATCTAACTTATCATTGATGGACCTGGAACTGGAAAAGACTGTTGGGAATGCCGTGTATGTGTGTGTGTGTGTGTGTGTGTGTGTGTGTGTGTGTGTGTGTGTGTGTGTGTGTGTACGCTTGTGTATGCCTGTGAATGCACATGGAGAGGCCAGAGGTGGACAGTGGGTGCCCTCTTCTATGGCTCTTCATGTTATTTATTTATTTAGAGACAGTTTCTCACTGAACTTGTGCCCCGGCCAGCAGGGTCTCAAAGGGGGGGGGCACCTGTGGGAGAGAATGAAAGGGACGGGGAGACATGAAGGAAGACAGCAAGACAGGGTTCTGATCAAGCTGCAAATTGTATTCTCCTCAGAAAGGCTTATATAGCATGGGAGGGGGAGGGGGGAGGAGGGAAGGGGTGCAGGACGTGCAGGACGTGCAGCTGAGGGGAGATGTGCAGGTCGTGAGGCTGCAGGATGTTGTGCTAGGTGATAAGGTCAGGGCCCATTGTTCTGTTGCTATGCTACCTGACCTACCTGACCAAGGAATGTTCTTTATCTTTGAGGGCATCTGGTTTAGGGCCTGTGGCTTGTTCTCTGGCCTAGCTAGTACTTTTCCATGGTTCATGTTCGGTCCCTGACCAACTTGGACTTACAGATACTGTAGCTATGGTGGCCAGCCAGCAAGCCCCACTGATGCTCTTGTGCAGCAAGTGTTCTTACCTACAGAGCATCTCCCCCACCTGGGGCAGGCATTTGAAGGGTGGCCTGCCTCTTTCTATGGGTCTCCTTCTGCTTCCTGTCCACCGTGAGGGGACCATGTGCTCCCCCGCCACACTCTGCTGGCCTCACCACAGGCCCAGAAACACTGGAGCCAAGTGGCCTGTGGACCAATGTCTCTGAACCCATACACCAAAACAACCCC